AATGCTTTTTTATAGGGGATATGCATAATATGAACATGGAAGTAAACATATATTTCTTTTTTTCTTTCCTTCTTCTATTTTTCAAAGTTGAAGTGAAAGATTTAATTAGCTATTTGTTGCTATGACAATTTTTACTGTCATTTTACCTGTAGGTATGGTGGTTTTTTATAGTATTCTTGTTCACACAAAGGCCTAAATGCTGAAATTTACTAATGTCTGATTGACTATATTTCTGGTCTTATAAGCTGACATTTGGTGTTAAATTCAATGTTTCACACGCTCTGCTCCTCTTGACATTGCTTGTTTATGACAAAGATAACTCTCTTTCCTCTGACCATGTTTGAGAAAGCTTGAAATTATAATTTAGCTTGCAAAACATTCTTGTTATCCCGGCGTTTCGTAGGACGGTATTCCCTATGTTCCTTGTGATCCATAGCTTATAAGCACTAGTAGACGCGCATTCAGTCTGTATCTTAAATTTTTATGTACAATCTGTAACCCAATGTGTTCATTTGCTCTTGTAGGATGGAAAGACACTGTTCAATGAATTGGAAGTAGTCGAGGGAATGAAGTTGGACAGAGGCTATATCTCCCCGTACTTCATCACGAATCAGAAGAACCAGAAATGTGTAAGAACCTCTGCTGCTGTTATCACCAATAAAATGTCTATTACCGAAAAATGGAATCCTTGCTGCATGAAGGTTTATTAAACAATTTCTCTAACAACTGCAGGAGTTGGATGACCCTCTCATTCTTATACACGAGAAGAAGATTTCAAACTTAAATGCTGTTGTTAAAGTACTGGAGTTAGCTTTGAAGGTAAATCTTTCAAGTCCCTCAATCTGAGCTATCAATATTTTAATCAATATTATTTTGCAGTTGTGTGATTGATTCTAAGTTGCCATATCTGTCCAGAGGCAAAGACCTCTAGTTATAGTTGCTGAAGATGTGGAAAGCGAAGCACTTGCAACTCTTATCCTTAACAAGCTCCGTGCTGGAATAAAGGTACCTCTATTGCTTTTATCATGGAAAATTGGCTTTGCAGGCAGTTACGTTGATTTATGCTTTATTTTGGTAATCTATCTGAAATATGTTCAGGTTTGTGCTATAAAAGCTCCTGGGTTTGGTGAAAATAGGAAGGCTAATTTGCAGGATCTTGCTGCTTTAACAGGAGGCCAGGTGAGTGGAGTACTCTATTTACTGCTTCTACACAATTTTACTTTTTCCACAACGTTTGTTAATTGGTTATTTTGCCTTTTTAGGTCATAACAGAAGAGCTAGGATTGAATCTGGAAAATGTAGAGTTAGATATGCTCGGCTCTTGTAAAAAGGTAAACTATGTTGCCATTTGATGAACTTGGATGATAATTCATTTCATTCTCTTATTATGGATCTGCTTTTGAGCTTTTAGAGAGACAAAATGGTTTTTCTTTCACTGGATTTACATTTCTTTTCTGTCATGTTCTAGGTCACAATATCTAAGGACGACACTGTTATTCTTGATGGAGCTGGTGAGAAGAGAGCCATAGAGGAAAGATGCGAACAGGTTTGTGTTGCTTCATTCACAGAACTAATTTTAATATTTTAGGAGTGATCTCCAAACTAGTGGTTAATTAATTATGATGATATATTTGAATATAAGTTTGGTACACATCTAGAATACAGCCCATATAGCTCTATTTTTACAGACTGTTATCTCTACTTTCAGATTAGGTCAGCAATTGAATTGAGTACTTCCGACTACGACAAGGAGAAGTTGCAAGAACGACTCGCTAAGCTATCTGGTGGTGTAGCTGTATTAAAGGTATAATTTCCTATAGCAGTTTCTACAAGCATTTTGAGTTTAGTACTTCAATGTGGTAGTGTTTTATATATCTCTGACTTATGTGATATGTGATTTAGTGTCTTAATTAAACATACCAACTTTCCCCTGCAGATTGGAGGAGCTAGTGAAGCAGAAGTCAGTGAGAAGAAAGACAGAGTTACAGATGCACTAAATGCCACAAAGGCAGCCGTTGAAGAGGGAATTGTACCAGGTACATTCATAAATTCATGTCTCATCTTGTTCGTTTGGCCTCTGCTGTTATCAGCGATGATATATGCTAAAGCAATTATAATAATGCAGGTGGTGGCGTTGCTCTTTTGTATGCGTCAAAAGAACTCGATAAATTGCCAACAGCCAACTTTGACCAGAAGATTGGTGTACAAATTATCCAAAATGCATTGAAGGTATGGACATCCATTCTCAAGTTTTATGATCAAAATCTGGTCACGAATCTTTTGCATGGCATATTGATTATGGGGTATCGCCAATTTTCAATTATCCTGTCGCATATGCACGAGCTCATTTTCTGCTAACTAATGCATTGTGAACTTCTAATTGCAGACGCCAGTACGTACAATTGCCGCAAATGCAGGAGTGGAGGGTGCTGTCATTGTTGGCAAGTTGTTGGAACAGGATAACCCAGATCTTGGCTATGATGCTGCTAAAGGTCGACTTTACATGCATAATTTGTTTATGTTTTGCAGGTGACTCCAGATTTTGTTTTATGATTGTTCATACTCCTTTTCCTTGTGTAAACAGGCGAATATGTTGACATGGTCAAGGCAGGAATTATTGATCCATTGAAAGTCATCAGAACTGCACTGACTGATGCTGCCAGGTGAGCTGAAACAGCCGTGAAGCAAATCATTTTCTGTCCATTTCATGGATCTAAGAAATATATATGTGCATGCATGCGTGTGTACATTTGTTGACTGTTATTCTGTCTTATGCAGCGTGTCTTCTTTAATGACGACAACAGAAGCGATTGTGGTTGAACAACCTAAGGACGAGAAGGCCGCCCCTGAAATGGGCGGTGGCATGGGTGGAATGGACTACTAAAACGTTTAGAAAACCAAATAAAAAATCAAGTTATTACGATTTTTTGATTAGTCCGTAGTTTGTAAACATAATGAGAAACCAACAAGAAGCATCGGATTAGGATTCTTGATTTGGAATTGTTTCTGGTGGAATTCAATGAGACTCGGTTTTCTTGTTTTTGATGTCGCACGTTGATGTCTTTTTATGTGGGAAAATCCTTTAGTGTTGCTATTCAATCTGATTTTCTCAATGGCTCTTTGGTTTACCATATTTTTAGTTTATGGGCTGCAAGGTGATCCATAAGACTTGTTTGTAATTAAAAGCAAGTTTAGGGGCTTGCCTGAAAGCGTACTAAAATAAACTGACTTGAAAACGAAAGGATAAAAAGGGGGAAATGAATGTGATGTAGAGCATCCATGAATGCTTATTTTGTAAAGGATAATTCGAAGTAAAGATGAACATGAGTAGGTTTGGGACCTGATTTGGGTACATATAGGGCAAGGTTTCCTCTCCTATTTTGTAACTTTTGAGAATATGTGATTGTATCAATTGATGTCAAATTTGGAGGTCCTGTGTTTAATTCTTTGAGGGGAGAATGATGGACATCGTCGCTGAACATGGGTTAGGCCCATTGATATTTTGAAGTGAAGGTTTAAACATTAGTGCTTGGGGTGGATTTTGAGCTTAATTCTAAGGCTTTCTAGAATCCAAGAGAACATGTTCAACCCATTTTGTCTTCATATGTTTGTCCCCATTGCTTCAATCTTTATCAACACTCAAAATCACCTCTCACGCCAACAAACTTTTCTATTACAATTGTTTGTGTTTCCATTATTCATTTCTCTTTTTCAGTTCCTTGTACATAGTATTTTGAATGTTCAATGCTCGACCAAATGTCCAAACCAAAATATGTTATTGATATTGGAGTTTGTAAATGAGAATGTTTGAAAATATGAGGAACTAAAATATGTACAATTGTTATGCAGGAGATGTTCAGTAGTGATAAATGGGATGTAACGCCTAGCTAGTGTCGTAATACTACAAGAAGACCATGCATATGTTATCCTAGGCCTAGAGTATGATAACTCAATCGGATGCGGCTCAAGCAATTAGCAATTTGGGGCCTTAGAAAAATTGTCAATGGAGTCTATTCGAGAATAATAATATTAAAATTAACAGAGTAAGTGATAATTTTATCCGTGAATTGATGGCATGATAAGTAAGGCTGTAAATAAATCGGATATGGATCAGATTTGGCCAAATTCGATCCGATCTATTAAAAAAATTATCTTATCCGATCCGATAATCCAACGGATATTTGATTGTTAAATTCATACCCGATCCGTTGTGTTATCGGATATCCGATCTAATAACCCGATCCGAAATTGAAAAAATTAGAAAAGTAAAATTTTTAGTCAACTTCTTACCCTAGAATTAAAAGGCCTAGATAGCTTTTTACCCAATTCTTCGCCCACTTATTTGTAGATTGTAAATTTTATGATATTCTAGTGGTATCTGATGTGGGAAGTGATAAGTTGAAAATAATGAAAGCAATTCCAATATTGGTCCCTTTGGTTGTTTAATTTATAAAATAAATTAATTATTATTTTTATCTTATTTTAATTAATTAAAAATTAAATCTCTTCATATATTTCAATTAACAAAATTATACTATTATCTAATATTATTAGTTATTCGATAATTATGTTTAAGTATAATACAAGTTTAAAAAAAAAATTATGTATAATAAATTATGAGATAATATATAAAATATATTATATTATTATAATAAATCAGATCGGATTGTTATTGGATCGGATTGACCTATATCCATATTTGCTTCATTTAATTAACGGATTATTTGATTTGGATCTTGATCGGGTTATCGTACAAATAAAATCGATGGCATTGTAATCAGTGATATTATTAGGAATCACTCTAGGTGCTTTATCCACCGACGAGAAATCGTCAATGATTGTTGACTTGATTTAAATTAAAATCTAAATTTTAATTTTCACCAAACACGTGCTTAGTGTCACAAGAAAAAACAGATATGTTAAATAATGATGAAAAACCTTTTAATTTATTTGTTCTTTGAAAAATCAAAACTGAGGTGCTGCTGTAGTTTATTTTAACGCATAAGGAGCTTCTTTTTGTTGCTGTGGTGCGTGCCACTCCCAAGTCTGAACTCTCCAGTCGCTACTCCAGGAACACGAAAGAAAAGGTCAGTTTACAGCTATTCAGTTGGACTTTTTTTTTTGGAGCTATTTGTATCATTTAATTCTCACATTGTTGTGCTGCTGTGATTCTTGAATAAATTTTATGTACTGAATTGCATTTGTTGTGAACAATGTGCTGAAGAAGCTGGGTGGGTGGTTTAGTTAGCTTGAAGACATTCCCAACTTTCACCAATTTCTAATCTTTTCTGGGGATTCTTGATTCTTAAGCTGATAAGTTTGAGTGTGGAGCTTGACCATACTATACACTTTCCCTCGGGCCTCGACTACATATCGACTTAATATTCTAACTAAATAAATAACTTGTTAGCGAGCCATTAATAGTGTGCAATAGAGGAGTGAGGATAATTTGTAATCTTCTTCTCCATTATAGTGAAAATCTTCAGCGGCAGGGTCGATATACGTAGTTCCTACATTGAGGGCGATCTACAAGTATTGTAAATTGACAAATTCTTTATAGTGATTTCTGATGTTATTTCTTCAGGTGTACTTTTACCCACGAGGAGAAATGACTCCTATTGCTTGCTTGGTTCTAAGGTAGATTTGACCGATTTCTCCAGATTATCCTTTTTGGGAGATCTCTTCTTATACTAGCTGAATGTATTTTTAAAATTATCCAATTTCTGGGGTTTGAAACTAGTCATTGACAGTATATAATGTAAAAGATAATCACAAATTGTGCTTCAAGGTTTTGAAACAAAAATGTTTAATTGTTTATGTAGTGTATTGTCTAGTGACAATAAATAAATTTTGGCTTGTTGATGGAATCTACAGGATGGGGGAGCATGGTGGAACTCATGAACCTACTATTGTAGAAATTAAATTAAATTGACACCCAAGCTGCTCAATGGGAAGAATTACCAGAATTGTCAGTGCAGAAAAGCGTTCAGCGTTTAATAGAAAATAAGAAGTCTTTATG